TTTGAAATTGTAAAGAATAAAATGAATAATCACTTGGTGATTAGATTATATTAGTGATTCTCCACTGAGGTTGATTTTGATCCACAGGGTCAAATGTGGCATCTAGTGGGTAGAGGCCAGGGAGACTACTCAGTGTCCTACACAATAGCCCACATACACACCCACATACAACAAAGAATTTTCTTTTTTCTTTTTTTTTTTTTTGAGACGGAGTTTTGCTCTTGTTACCCAGGCTGGAGTGCAATGGCGCGATCTCGGCTCACTGCAACCTCCACCTCCTGGGTTCAGGCAATTCTCCTGCCTCAGCCTCCTGAGTAGCTGGGATTACAGGCACACGCCACCATGTCCAGCTAATTTTTTTGTATTTTTAGTAGAGACGGGGTTTCACCATGTTGACCAGGATGGTCTCGATCTCTTGACCTCGTGATCCACCCGCCTCGGCCTCCCAAAGTGCTGGGATTACAGGCTTGAGCCATCGCACCCGGCCAACAAAGAATTTTCTACTGCAAAATATCATTACTGTCTCAGTTGGGATACCCTGTGTTAAAGAATTTTACAATCCTTTGTAATCGTGAGATTCTCTGATTGTAGGTCTTCTCTTTTTCTGAAGGTTGGGAGTTCCTTGAAAATTACTTTTGTGAGTTTTAAACTTCTCTTCATAACAGGGTTTTTTTTTGTTTGTTTGTTTTTTTGTTTTTTTTTTGAGACGAAGTTTCGCTCTTGTTACCCAGGCTGGAGTGCAATGGCGCGATCTTGGCTCACCGCAACCTCTGCCTCCTGGGTTCAGGCACTTCTCCTGCCGCAGCCTCCTGGGTAGCTGGGATTACAGGCACGTGCCACCATGCCCAGCTAATTTTTTGTATTTTTAGTAGAGACTGGGTTTCACCTTGTTGACCAGGATGGTCTCGATCTCTTGACCTCGTGATCCACCCACCTTGGCCTCCCAAAGTGCTAGGATTACAGGCTTGAGCCACCGCGCCCGGCCCCATAACAGGTTTTTGTACTTTAATATGTAGGTATTTTAATAATAATTCTAACAGCTTTCTCTCTTCCTGCTGTGAGCCTGTCATAGGATTATAATCACTGCAGAAATGAGTTGTGTCATCTCTAAGGAGAACTAGAAACAGCATTGTTGCTCTTCAAATTCTTCTTGAAACTTAGAAATTTATTATTTATTGTATTTTCCCAGAAAAACAAGCCTATAAAGCTTAATAGCCTGGAGAATAATTTGGAGACAGAACCTTAACAGATAACTTAAACGAGGAGACATTCATTTTATGAAATTGGAATTTTTACCAGTGACTCTTAATGAATGCCAAAGGTATTATCATTGTTATGATAGTTCAAAATGCATTTTCTGCCCTCAGGCCTTAAATCTGGTAAGACAGGTCTGTTCCTGTTGTGTGTGAAGTTTCATTCCTTCCTACGGAGTCAAGTGATTTTTTTAGATTTGTGCCTTTTCCTGCCATTTTCTTATATCCGTGGTCATTGCACATATTTTCCAGAAGTGCATACCCAATTAACATACTTCATTTGTGTTTTCTCTCCATAACAAAGGAGACTCACTGCTGATAAAATTATTTGTTTTCACGATTTCAGGAGTAAATAGCTATGTTCCAGTTGTTCCTTGATTTAGTGTGTTCAATCACTGTTCTTCATCTCTTAATTTTGGTGTGTTCTTTCTTGTAAACAATTTGTTACATAAAAGAATGAAAGAAAATAGAATTATAGACATTAGAATTAGAAGAAAAACAGTCTTCTGTCCTTTGGTAGGTAAAGTATTAATTTGTATTTCCACTTTAGAACTGAAGTAGCATCCACAGCTTGGAATTGCCAGAAGAGTTGGTTTTTTGTTTGTTTGTTTGTTTGTTTGAGACAGAGTCTTGCTGTGTTACCCAGGCTAGAGTGCAGTGGCACGATCTCAGCTCACTGCAACCTCCGCCTCCCGGGTTTGAGCGATTCTTCTGCCTCAGCCTCCTGAGTAGCCGGGATTACAGGCACCCACTACCCCCGCCCCCAGCTAATTTTTGTATTTTTAATAGAGACAGGGTTTCACCATCTTGGCCAGGCTGCTCTCAAACTCCTGACCTTGTGATTCACCCATCTTGGACTTCCTAAGTGCTGGGATTACAGGCGTGAGCCATTGTGCCTGGCTGGAACTGGCAGAAGAGTTTTGTACACAGGCTTATACATAAGCAGACAATTTTCTTTATCCTTCGGGCCTCTCAGGAGTTGGAACTGGTACTCATGAATGGTTTGTGTCATGCTTCTCTCGGTGGAATTTTGACCTCTTCTTGATGATATAGGTTGCAAGTTTTAGTAAAGTTTTGGATTCTCAAATATTTTGAGTGGTTTCTCTTAGAACTCATAAAATTATAGTGGTTAAAAAATACTCCTCCACTGGGCGCGGTGGCTCACGCCTATAATCCCAGCACTTTGGGAGGCCGAGGCGGGTGGATCACGAGGTCAAGAGATCGAGACCATCCTGGTCAACATGGTGAAACCCTGTCTCTACTAAAAATACAAAACATTAGCTGGGCATGGTGGCGCGTGCCTGTAATCCCAGCTACTCAGGAGGCTGAGGCAGGAGAATTGCCTGAACCCAGGAGGTGGAGGTTGCGGTGAGCCGAGATCGCACCATTGCACTCCAGCCTGGGTAACAAGAGTGAAACTCCGTCTCAAAAAAAAAAATAAATAAATAAATACTCCTCCATCTATTTTGGCTTAGAGGGTGAAAAAAGTACTTGAACTTCTCAGATAAAAAGCTTTGAAATACGAAATGTTCTTACAAGGACTTGATAATTTGTTATTTAAATAATGTGGTACATTTGTGTACTTGAAGTTGTCCTTTAAAATAATCCTTTCAGAAAGAAAAAAAAAGAAAAAATAATAAAATAAAATAATCCTTTCAGTCTTTCTCGTGTTAATAATGGGGATATGAAAGCAGATTTTTTTTCTTTAAATAAGAAAAGGTGTCACTCTGTTGCCCAGGCTCTGGAGTGCAGTGGCATGATCACAGCTCACTGCAGCCTTAACCTCCTGGGCTCAAGGGATCCTCCCACTTCAGCCTTTTGAGTAGCTGGAACCACAGGAGTACGCCACCATGCCTGGTAATTTTTAATATTTTTTGTGGAGATGGACTCTCCCTATGTTGCCCAGAATGGTCTTGAACTCCTGGGCTCAAGTGATCCTCCTACATCAGCTTCTCAAAGTGCTGAGATTACAGGCATGAGCCACCACACTGGGTACGAAAGCAGAATTTTGAAGAATGGTTAGATCTTAATCTTAACTGCATTGCCTCCTAAGTGCTTTTGAAGAAATTTTTTTTTCTAAATAGTATTTAATAGGCAACATTTCACTTGTTTAGAAAGGTGTGTGCACTATGCCTTTCTAGAGTGTCTGTGGATGCTTGTAATCTCTGGTCCTGAGTTCTCCTGTCTTCCTTTTCTCTTAAAACGAATGCAGTAGACTGCTCAATCCACTTTCTAGTCTGATTTTCTGGCTGTTGGTTTTTCTCTGTTAAGTGAAGTGTGCATTGCATTGAGTAGGAATACATTCTAAAATCTAGGCAAATAGGAATGTGTTAATATCCTTCTATAATGGCCTCTGGGGCACTAGCACTTTTAAAAATAGACGAGCAGGAATCTGCAACTGAGGGTTTTTTAGATTATAGTCAATGCCTCCAGTGACAATGTGTGAATATTTTTAAGTTATAACTAGAGATGACTCCTTAATGTTATGTGAATCTATAAAAATGTAACAAATATGACTGATAAAAGTATTAGGTGATGTCTTATTTTGAGAAGTGTGCTCTCATAATGCTCCTTAGAGATAGGCAGCAAAATATCTTTAACAACTGTATGCAACCAGTGAAAAAATTGAATTTGTATCTCTTGGCTGTTTTGCTAAATTTATCCTTGGTTAGACTATATAGAATATTCCTATGTAGACTACATATAATATTCCTACATGTAGTATTTTGACATCCCTGAAATCAAAACTGTATTTCTTCAATTGTGTTTAAATGAATTTTAGTAAAAGACTCTTGCCTAAGATTTTTTTCTCTTGGTTCTTCAGATCTTGACTAGAGCCAGACAGCTGGATGTGTGCTTTTTTTTACTGAGTTTGTTCATTACTTCATTTGTTCCACTATTTAACAAATTATAACGTATATACCATGTGTCAAGCACTTTGTTACAGTTCTATCTGGTATTTTTTTTTTTAATCATTTCAGGACTGGTGAGGAATATTTTAATATCTCAAGATGGTGTTAAATTGGGATCATGTGTTTTCAAAACAGAAGCACCTGGCTCATTGTATTGTTCTACTCTGAGGCAACCTTGGGGGGCCAAGATCCCCATCCTTAAGCTTGTAAGGATCATGATGCTTGTGAAGCTGTTTCAGGTGTTTTGTGACACTTAATAACTACTGCTTGCTGCCTGCCTATCCTAATTCTCTAAGGGAGGAAGAACTCTTAAATGAGCTTCTAGTCTCTGTTAAGGCACTTTAAAATGTCACCACTTTTCCCCCTCCTGTCGCCCATTGTACCACATCCAGACTCACATCAAACCATTTGAGCTACTTAAGAGTTAAATTGTGTGTTTTATCTGATATTGTCATAAACTTAGCATGTTAGCTATAAGCCACTCCCATCTCTAAAGCTGTTATGTTAAAATTATATTTAAAGCTGTATCAAAATTGCTACTTTGAATGGTATACAAATTGATAAATAGATTTCCTGTTGTACAAATGAGGAAACTTGTTGCTCTTCATCTGGAGAGGTGCTGCTGCCAGCCATTTTGCTATCAGCAAAGCTTCCAAATCGCTTCTAACAGTAGTGGCTTGTGTTGTACCCTGGCACAAAGGGACTCCTTACCTTAGATCTCCTAAGAGGTCAGTGGCAGAGATAGAAATGGAATATTGTTATGTAGCTTTAAAACAGCAAAGCTGAAAAGCTGACATTTTGCTTTCCCTTTTTCTCTCCATCTTTCTTGTTAAAGGAGTGGTTAACGTGTTGCTAACAACTCCACTCTGGGTGGTAAACACCAGACTGAAGCTGCAAGGGGCAAAATTCAGGAATGAAGACATTGTACCAACAAACTACAAAGGTATCATTGGTAAGTATCTCTTTGCTGAGTTCCTGTTTAAAGGTTTTCCTTCTTTGTATCTGGAATATGTTGCCACATAAAGCTACATAACAGAAAACCTCAAATCTGGGCATCCATGAGTAGCATTTTTTTTTAACTCATGTGTCCGTGGATTTATGTGGTGGATTTGGCTCATCTAAGCTAGCCCTAGCCTGACAGTCTCAGCCCACATATTTCTCCTCCTCTTTCTGGGACCAGCATGAGCATATTCTCCTCACTGTGATGGCAAAAGCTCAAGAGGACACAGCCAATCGTATAAACACTTTTCAACCCTGTTGGCACCTTGTCTGTTGACATCCCAGTGGCAAAGGACATCACATAGCCAAGCCCGAGACAAGAGGTAGAGAAGTATACTTCTCCCAGAGAGTATCAGTGGGAAGGGAGGAATATTTTTGAGAATAATCTATACTTTTTTATTCCAGTGCTGTCTTTGGATAGATACCAGATTGGTATCAGATATCTTTGAGCTTCTGCCTTTCAATAGTACGGCATTACCAGGTTCTCATTTTCCTATCATTCTTTGTAGTGGAGTAGTGGAATAGTGGTTTTTAGAAGTCAAATCCTGTATAATAAACTCCAGGAAACAATCTTACCTTTTGTTGTACTGGAATTTGTTGTGAAATATGTGGGCTCAGTTCACAGTTCTGTATAATCCAGAGTTCCCAGTGATGGTGATAATGACTTAGGAGAATATGACATTCTAGCCCTGGATCATCAGGAATGGTTGCCTGTGATTGAAGTTAGTCTCTCAATAACTTGGTGACTGTCAGTGCTGATTATCAAAAAATAATTAAGTTATAAACTTGCCCCCAGACTATCATTGCAAGAAGGAAATTTTTTTTCCCTTTTTTTTTAGTTGGAGTCTTACTGTGTCACCCAGGCTGGAGTGCATTGGCACAATCTTGGCTCACTGCAACCTCTGCCTCTCGGGTTCAAGTGATTCTCTTGCCTCAGCCTCCTGAGTAGCTGGGATTATAGGTGCACGCCACCCTGGCTGGTTAATTTTTGTATTTTTAGCAGAGACAGGGTTTCACCATGTTGGCCAGGCTGGTCTCAAACTCCTGACCCCGTATCTGCCCACCTTGGCCTTCCAAAGTACTAGGATTACAGGTGTGAGCCATTGCACCTGGCTGCAAGAGGGAACTATTTATAGAACCAGTATGGTTTGTGTTCTGGGTGCATTTGAACAGAATTCATGTTGTCTTCTTTAGTTAGGGGATTGTCATCATGCTTTTCAAAAGTCCCTCATTTCTTGCTTAGATGCTTTTCATCAGATCATTCGAGATGAGGGAATCTTGGCTTTATGGAATGGCACATTTCCCTCCTTGCTGTTGGTCTTCAATCCTGCCATCCAGTTCATGTTTTATGAAGGTTTAAAACGGCAGCTTTTAAAGAAACGGATGAAGGTAATCCCTGATTTTGAAAGCAGTAAAATAATTCTCTCTGACACCTTTTTGTTGACTTGACTGATGTGATTTGTTCTTTCTTTGCTTTCCAGCTTTCTTCTTTGGATGTGTTTATCATTGGTGCAGTAGCCAAAGCAATTGCCACCACGGTCACCTATCCCATGCAGACGGTACAGTCAATTCTGAGGGTGAGTGCTGGGGTTCTCTTCACATTTAGTCAAACAGCATTTTATTATATGTGGTCTCTATTTAAAACATTGTTAATAAAGCAATAAAGCAGTTAGTTGGTATGCCAGAGTATTCCCTATCCATTTCTTTTTTCTTTTCTTTTTTTGAGACAGGATCTCCCTCTGTCACTCAGGCTGGAGTACAGTGGTACAACATGGCTACCTGTAGCCTTGACCTCCTAGGCTCAAGCAGTCCTGCCTCAGCTACCTAAGTAGCTGACTACAGGCATATACCACCTTGTCCAGCTAATTTTAAACTTTTTCTGTGAAGATGGGGTGTCACTATGTTTCCCAGGCTTGTCTCAAAGTCCTGGACTCAAGCTATCTTGCTACCTTGGCCTTCCAAAGTGCTGAGATTATAAGTTTGAAACATTGTGCCCAGCCCCCATTTTTTCATTTGTTTGATACTATGTTTAACTAGATTGGCTGTCATTGGTTTAGAATGCAGTTTGCATTTGTGATTTCTTAGGTAATGTAATGTCTCAGAAAACACAGATGTGGAGACAAGTTCTTTAAAGACCTCAGGAAAGCACAAGTTTGCTTCCTTCCCATTCAAGTTAATTTGTTTGGTGCCCCAGGGCTGATTATCCTTTACAAAGTCAGAGGTTAATTTTTTTAGTTCACTCAGGAGGAATTAATGATTTAGCTTTTCTGAAGCACTTTCAAATTTCTGTTTTTTAATTCGTTCAGTTATTTATCCATTCAAATATTTATTAAGCACCCACACGGTGGGAGGACCTGGGCATACAGTATAAATAAAAGTCATAAAATCCTTGCCCTTTTCAAGCTAATGGAAGAGAGACTGAATAGGTAAACAAGCATTATAAATAGTTAATTACAAATTGAAAAAGGAGCTATAAAGGAAATTATTTAGTGGAGAGGGGCATGGTGGGGATCTTTTAAGATAGCATGATTGGAGGTGCGCTTCTTTGAGAAGGGATATTTAAATCAAGATGCAAAGGAGCATAAGACCCTAGCTGGGCAGGGTGGAGGAAAATGCATTCCAGGCAGGGGGAGCATTATGTGTGTATTAGTCCATTCTCAGGATGTCTAAAGGACAGCCTGAGGCTGGGCGTGGTGGCTCACGCCTGTATTCCAGCACTTTGGAGGCCAAGGCGGGCGGATCACCTGAGGTCGGGAGTTCAAGACCAGCCTGACCAACGTGGTGAAACCTGGTCTTAAAAAAGAAAAAAAAAAAAGAAAGAAAATAGGACTGCCTGAGACTGGGTAATTTGTAAAGGAAAGAAGTTTAATTGACTTACAGATCAGCATGGCTGGGGAGGCCTCAGGAAACTTGTAGTCATGGCAGAAGGGGAAGCAAACACATACTTATTCACATGGTGGCAGCAAGGACAAGTGCAAGGGAACTCCCCTTATGAAACCATCAGATCTCGTGAGACTTATTCACTACCACAAGAATAGTAGAGGGAAAACGCCCCCAAGATTCAGTTATCTCCGCCTGGCCCTGCCCTTGGCATGTGGGGATTCTTACAATTCAAGTTGAGATTTGGGTGGGGACACAGCCAAACCATATCAGTGTACTAAGAATTTGGTGCATACTAGGGACTGAATGGAGGCTTTTATGCCAGTAGAGTAGCTCAGGATGAGATTGCAAAAGTAGCAGGGAAACTGTAGGTGAGGAATCTAGATTTTTATCCTCAGCACTTTAAGCTGAGAATATGTGATGGGAAAGGCTTTAAACTGGGGAATATGTGATGTGATTTGCAACTGGAGAAGATTGTTGTCGCTATTATGTGGTGAATTGGTTAGAAAGCTAAGAGAGAAAGCTAGGGGCAATTTGGTAGGAAGCCATTTCAGTAATACAGGCCAGAGAGGATGGTGGCCTGGACCATGGTAGCAGCACTGGGGAAGAGAGCGATAGGACGAGGACAGATTCAAGATCTGTTTTAGAGGCTGGGCATGCTGGCTCACACTTGTAATCCCAGCACTTTGGGAGGCCAAGGCAGGTGGATCACCTGAGGTCAGTAGTTCAAGACCAGCCTGACCAACATGGAGACACCCCATCTCTACTAAAAATACAAAATTAGCTGAGGGTGGTGGTGCATGCCTCTAATCCCAGCTGAGGCAGGGGAGGCTGAGGCAGGATAATCGCTTGAACCCAGGAGGCAGAGGTTGCGGTGAACCGAGATCGCACCATTGTACTCCAGCCTGGGCAATAAGAGCAAAACTCTGTCTCAAAAAAATAAAATCTGTTTTGGAGAAAAATTTTCAAAAGGCTTGTTGCTAGATAAAATAGGGGTGGTCATGAGAGTATTCCAGTTCAGAAAAATTAGTACTTTCTGTTAAAAGCATTTTTACTAAAATTGGTACTTAATTTAAGGGAATTCAGTAGCAGTCTTATAAATGTATTTTAACACTTTTAGAACATAAACACATAATATGAAGAGCTTAGATTGCAGAGATTCTAAGTGATTTCGTTCATCAGAACTTCCTAAAGAAATGGAAATTATTACCATCAATATCCAAATCATCATCCTGGGCATGTTTTTTTCTTTTGAGGTAGAATTTTCCCTATACTTCTCTATAAAATGTAAATGATTATGCTTGCTTCATTGAAAAATTTTTCTTAGGCCAGACACAGCGGCTCACGCCTGTAATCCCAGTACTTTGAGAGGCAAAGGTGGGTGGATTATTTGAGGTCAGGGGTTCAAGACCGGCCTGGCCAACGTAGTGAAATCACATCTCTACTAAAAATACAAAAATTAGCTGGGCATGGTGCCACATGTCTATAATCCCAACTATTCGGGAGGCTGAGACAGGAGAATCACTTGAACCTGGGAGGTGGAGGTTGCAGTGAGCCAAGATTATACCACTGCCCTCCAGCCTGGGCAGCAGACTGAGACCCTATCTCAAAAAAGAAAAAGAAAAAATTTTTCTTATTTTTACTTAATTGAAATTTTTCACTCAGTGGAAAAATACAGGATTAATGAACTCTGTGGTACTCATTGGGTAAATTTATTAATGTATGCTAGAAGACACTGCTCTAACCTAATATTCCCTCCAGGTAGAGATTAAGATTTTAAAAAGCAGTAATAGTACTTATCTTTTTTTCCTCCTCTTTCCTCAGTTTGGGCGTCATAGACTAAACCCAGAAAACAGAAGACTGGGAAGTCTTCGGAATATTCTCTATCTTCTTCACCAGCGAGTAAGGTGAGCTTCACAGATGCCTCACATTCCGTGCTCTCCTTCAGCAGCCATCTTTGCCAGGGAGTGGTTGGATTTCCCTCTCTTACACTACTGCCTTGGTGGTGGCAGCCTCCAAAACCTCTCCCTTGCTTGCTGTGCTTAGACATTTCTCATTTTAGGAGCCTCGTACAGTATAATAGCATTTTGGGAAATTATGGGAAAGTTCAGGTTTTTATTCTTTGTTTGTTAGTTACATATATACAGAACTCCTTCAGAAAGAGAACCCTTCTTTACTTCAGTCACCCTGAGTGGTGCTTTCACTAATAGTATATCCTATGACCTCTCTTAGCAATGTAACATCTGCCTATAGAATAGGGGTACTGAAGAAGGGAGGGCAGTGGAAAAGTAATAATAGTGATGATGATGATGACGATGATGATGATACTGATGAAGCTAAGAGTAGCTAACATTTTCAGTGGTTTGCTGTGTGGCAGACACTGAGCTAGAGGCTATACGTAGGTAATCTCAATCCTAACAGTAGCTCTGTCAGTTAAGAACTATTATCATTTTCTGTTTCAGTTAAAGAAATTGACACTTGAGCCGGGCGCGGTGGCTCAAGCCTGTAATCCCAGCACTTTGGGAGGCTGAGGCGGGTGGATCACGAGGTCAAGAGATCGAGACCATCCTGGTCAACATGGTGAAACCCCGTCTCTACTAAAGATACAAAAAATTAGCTGGGCATGGTGGCACGTGCCTGTAATCCCAGCTACTCAGGAGGCTGAGGCAGGAGAATTGCCTGAGCCCGGGAGGCGGAGGTTGCGGTGAGCCGAGATCGCGCCATTGCACTCCAGCCTGGGTAACGAGAGCGAAAACTCCGTCTCAAAAAAAAAAAAAAAAAAAAAAAAGAAATTGACACTTAGTGAAGTCAGATAAGTCAGGGACGTCCTTTGAAGCAAAAGCTCTTAGAACTTTATTAGTGTTCCTAGATACAAGCTACTCTGAAAATAAATTTATTCTTAAAATATGCAGCTGGGCATGGTGGCTGATGCCTGTAATCCCAACACTTTGGGAGGCCGAGATGGGAGTATGGCTTGAGGCCAGGAGTTCAAGACCAGCTTGGGCAAAGTAGTGAGACCCTGTCTCTGCAAAAAATATTTTAAAAATTAGCTAAGCCTGTGGTATGCATCTGTAATCACAGCTGCACATGAGGCTAAGGTGGTAGATTCACTGGAGCCCAGCAGATTGAGGCTGTAGTGAACTATGATCGCACCACTGTACCTCAGCCTAAGGCTATAGAGGCAAGACCTTGTCTCAAAAAGAATAAAAATAGGCCGGGCACAGTGTGGCTCATGACTGTAATCCCAGCACTTTGGGAGGCTGAGGTGGGCAGATCACCTGAGGTTGGGAGTTTGAGACCAACCTGACCAACATGGAGAAACCTCGTCTCTACTAAAAATACATTAGCTGTGCGTGGTAGTGAGCACCTGTAATTCCAGCTACTTGCCGGGGGTGGGGTGGGGGTGGGGGTGGGGGGTGGGACACTGAGACAAGAGAATCACTTGAACCTAGGAGGCAGACACTTTAGTGAGCTGAGATCTCGCCATTGCACTTCAGCCTGGGCAACAAGAGCAAAACTCTGTCTCAAAAAAAAAATAATAATAATAATAGAAAGAACATTCAAGGGACTGAAAGATAAAATCAGGCTGGGCATGGTGGCTCACACCTATAATCTCAGCACTTTGGGAGGCCCAGGCAGGCATATCGCTTTAGCTCAGGAGTTTGATACCAGCCTGGGCAACACAGTGACACCCTGTCTCCACAAAAATTAAAAATTAGCTAGGAATGGTGGTGCATGCCTGTAGTCCCAGCTACCCAGGAGGCTGAGGTGGATTGCTTGAACCCAGGAGGTTGAGGCTTCACAGTGAGCTGTGATTGTGCCACTGTGTGATTTTATTTTATTTACAAAATTAAATAAGGCCAGGCATGGTGGCTCACGCCTATAATCCAAGCACTTTGGAGGCCAAGGAAGGCGGATCACCTGAGGTCGGGAGTTCAAGACCAGCCTGACCAACATGGTGAAACCCCATCTTTAAAAAAAGAAAAAAATATTAAATAAAAGACAAAGAGGCCGGGCGTTGTGGCTCACGCCTGTAATCCTAGCACTTTGGGGGGCTGAGGTGGGTGGATCACCTGAGGTCAGTTGTTCAAGACCAGCCTGGCCATCATGGTGAAACCCCATCTTTAAAAAAAAAAAAAAAAAAAAAAAAAAAAAAGACAAAGAATAGGTATAAAGTAAAAAATAAATACTCACCATACCAAGTATTGGGTGGGATGTTGGAGCAGCCCGAACTTACTTTCTCATGCTGCTGGCAGGAATACAGAATAGTACAGCAGCTTTGGAAGCCAATTTGGCATTTTCTTTAAAAATTTATAGATACCAAAAAAAAAAAAAACTTATAGATACCACACCTATTATAGGACCCAGCCATCCACTTCAGTGTATTTACTCAAGAGAAACAAAAGCATATTTCTACACAAAAGCTTGTAAACAAACGTTAATAATGGCTTTGTTATTTTTTATTTTTTAAATTTATTTTTAAAATTTTTTAATTTTTTTTTTTTTTTTTTTTTGAGACAGAGTTTTGCTCTTGTTACCCAGGCTGGAGCGCAATGGTGCGATCTCGGCTCACCGCAACCTCCGCCTCCTGGGTTCAGGCAATTCTCCTGCCTCAGCCTCCTGAGTAGCTGGGATTACAGGCACGCACCACCATGCCCAGCTAATTTTTGTATTTTTAGTAGATACGGGGTTTCACCATGTTGACCAGGATGGTCTCGATCTCTTGACCTCGTGATCCACCCACCTCGGCCTCCCAAAGTGCTGGGATTACAGGCTTGAGCCACAGCGCCCAGCCAAAATTTTTTAATTTTTAATTTTTGTGGGTACATAGTAGGCATATATATTTTTGAGGTACATGAGATGTTTTGATACAGGCATGCAAAGCATAATAATCACATCATAGAAAATGGGGTATCTATCCTCTCAAGCATTATTTTGTTACAAACAGTACTATTATGCTCTTTTAGTTATTTTTAAAAGTATAATTAAATTATTATTGACTATATTCTTGTGTTGTGCTTGCAAATACAAGGTCTTATTCAAACTGTCTTTTTTTGTACCCATTAACCATCCCCACCTTTCCCCCAACACTGCTCTTCCCAGTCTCTGGTAACCATCCTTCTACTCTTTATCTCCATGAGTTCAATTGTTTTGATTTTTAGATCCCACAAATAAGTGAGAACATGTGATATTTGTCTTTCTGTGCATGGTTTGTTTCACCTAGCAGAATCACCTCCAGTTCCATCCATGTTGTTACAGATGACACAATCTCATTCTTTTTGATGGCTGAGTAGTGTTGCATTTTGTATAAGTACCACATTTTCCTTACCCATTTATCTGTTGATGGACACTTAGGTTGCTTCCACATTTACAACATTATTTGTAAGAACCAAAAACTAGAAACAACCTGGCTGCATGCAGTGGCTCATGCCTGTAATCCCAGCACTTTGGGAGGCCAAGGCAAATGGATCATTTGAGGTTAGGAGTTCGAAACCAGCCTGACCAACATGGTGAAACCCCGTCTCTACTAAAAATACAAAAATTAGCTGGGCGTGGTGACAGGCGCCTGTAATCCTAACTACTCGGGAGGCTGAGACAGGAGAATCACTTGAACCTGGGAGGTGGAGGTTGCAGAGAGCTGAGGTTGCACCATTGCACTCCAGCCTGGCGGACAAGAGTGAGACTGAGTCTTAAAAATAATAATAATATACCGTGATTTATTTACCAATACACTTACTGATAGATATTTAGGTTGTTTCCAGGTTTTGCCTTTACAAACATTGCTGAATGAACAACTCATAAATTTAGCTCTGTATACCTGAGTGATTATAATTGTTGAGAAAATTATCTTTTGTTTTTTCAAATATTCAGTCCCTGTAGACTGTCAAAAATTGCTAATACCGACTATATTTCAAGTCGTCATGTCGGGGTATTGGGAAAAGTTTTCAATTAGCAATAATTGTGCCTCGGATAAACCTCATCTGCGCAAAGCTGAGAAAATTATCTTAACCAATGAGATTACCTGATTAAGGAGTATAAACATGAAATTTTGATAAGAGATTTCCAAATTGACCCCAAAACAGTGATAACAATTTCTGTTTCTATCAGCATTGAGAGAGTTAAGAAAGATGTAGTTAACAAGAAAGCTAAGAACATAGTGTTAAGTAGAAATCTGTGGGTTTATATAGTTTTCAAATCTGTGTTTTGACATCTTATATCTTCTTAGGGTCTCATTCAACTTTGGGGATGTGGAAGGGTGATTATATTTCCGTTTCGAAGATTAGAAAACAGATTTAGAGAAAGAAAGTGACTTGCCCAATATGAGATCAAGGCAGGGTCAGATGTTCAAACTCAGATGCTCAGTAAGCACTCAGGAAGGATTGAATGAATAAGAGCTTTCATTCTGTTCACTTGAATGCTTTTCAATGATGGAAACATCTGTACTGTCCAGTAGGGCTGCCACTAGTTGCATGTGACTGTTGAACACTTGAAATATGCCCAGTGCAACTAAGAAATTGAGTTATTTATTTATTTTTATTTTCATTTATTTATTTTTTGAGACAGAGTCTCACTCTGTTGCCCAGGCTGAAGTGCAGTGGCGTAATCTCAGCTCACTTCAACTTCTGCCTTCCAGGTTCAAGTGATTCTCCTACTTCAGCCTCCTGAGTAGCTGGGACTATAGGCATGTGACACTGCACCTGGCTAATTTTTGTGTTTATCGTAGAGATGGGGTTTCACCATGTTGGCCAGTCTGGTCTTGAACTCCTGACCTCAGTTTATCTGCCTGCCTCAGCCTCTCAAAATGTTTGGGATTACAGGCATGAGCCACTGTGCCCAGCCTGTTTTTAAAAATTTTTAATTGCCACATATGGCTAGTGGCTGTGATAACAGATAGTGTAGTATACCGTACCAGGCCTCTCCAAACTTTTGCGTGGTTAAAAATCACTTCAGGTGCCTGTGAAATGTAGGTTTGCCTCCTCTCTGGGTTGTGGCCTGGCAATCTACATTTCTAAACAAACTCTGGTGCTTCTGATACGGCTGGTCCTCACCTTGAGAAACATTGAGGTGGAATTTCTTAGGTTTCTTGGGGTAACATAATTCAAATTAGTAAGGGAACTAGAAATTCATGGGTCAAGTCTTTAAGTCATTCCTGTTTATCATATGATTTTCCCCCAATTATAGGTTTTCACACAGTATATATATAAAATGTAGTAATAGCTTCTGATGGGAACACTTGATTCAGTATCTCAATCTGCATGCTATAAATAACCCTGGAGCTGCTGATGAACTGGCAGATGATATTAATTCACTCTCAACAAATAGCTTTAGAGCAATCTTTTGCTCTAAACTCCCATTTTAGCTGAAACAATCTTCTGAGGTTAGAGCAGTGGTTCTTATGGGCTGGTTTCCAGGCTGGCATCCTCCTCCTCCTCATCTGGGAGCTTGTTAGAAATGCACATTCTTGGGCTGGTTACAGTGGTTCATGCCTGTAATCCCAACACTATGGGAGGCCGAGGCTGGAGGATCACGTGAGCGTAGGAGTTGGAGACCAGCATGGGCAACAGAGTGAGACCCTGTCTCTGTTGATAAAAAGAAGAAATGCAAATTCTTGAATTTCACCCCAAACTTAGTCAATCAGAAACTCTGGGAATTGACCCAGCAATCTACATTTTGGTTTATTTTTAAATGGAGTTTCACTCTTGTTGCCCAGGCTGGAGTGCAATGGTGCAATCTCAGCTCACTACAACCTCTGCCTCCCAGATTCAAGTGATTCAAGTGATTGATCTCAGCCTCCAAGTAGCTGGGATTACAGGCATGTGTCACCATGCCTAGCTAATTTTGTATTTTTAGCTAATTTTTGTATTTTGTAGAGAGGGTTTCTCCATGTTGGTCAGGCTAGTCTCGAACTCCCAACCTCAGATGATCCACCCATCTCGGCCTCCCAAAGTGCTGGGATTACAGGCGTGAGCCACCATGCCCGGCACAATCTATATTTTACCAAGCCTTTCAGGTGATTTGAATGCCTGCTAAATCTGAAAACCACTGGGTTAGAGGATGAAATGTATGGGAAGTTTGAGCATCAGAAAGTTTTTCATTTGTCTCTTTCTCTAGTTATATTGAGCTAAAATGATCTGAACGTATTGACAGCTTTCCTGCCATTTAGGGACTAAGGTGAAATAACTAAATTAGCATTAAAGTGAAGATCCACATCCTGGCCAACATGGTGAAATCCCATCTCTACTAAAAATACAAAAATTAGCTGGGTGTGGTGGCAGGTGCCTGTAGTCCCAGCTACTTGGGAGGCTGAGGCAGGAGAATTGCTTGAACACGGAAGGCAGAGGTTGCAGTGAGCTAAGATCATGCCACTGCACTCCAGCCTGGTACCTGGAGATGGAGCAAGACTCTGTCTCAGAAAACAAAAACAAATACAAAAAGTCAAGTTCCAAAAGTTCTTCATTAGATCTCAGATTTTGCATTAAAATGGTTTTGGGATCTGCATCCTCTCAGTGGGATATTGTCAACGTTCTGCTAATTCATGGTGACTATAAAGACCAAGTATTGCCGGGCGCGGTGGCTCAAGCCTGTAATCCCAGCACTTTGGGAGGCCGAGGCGGGTGGATCACGAGGTCGAGAGTTCGAGACCATCCTGGTCGACATGGTGAAACCCCGTCTCTACTAAAAATACAAAAAATCAGCTGGGCATGGTGGCGTGTGCCTGTAATCCCAGCTACTCAGGAGGCTGAGGCAGGAGAATTGCCTGAACCCAGGAGGCGGAGGTTGCGGTGAGCCGAGATCGCGCCATTGCACTCCAGCCTGGGTAACGAGAGCGAAACTCCGCCTCAAAAAAAAAAAAAAAAAAAAAAAAAAAAAAAAGACCAAGTATTAATGGTTCATGAATACTAAACCTTCATTAGTCCCCAAATACCTTTAAAGATAAGAAATACTTTGACAACGAAAGTCTGTGTTGAGGCCTGGCGTGATGGCTCAAGCCTGTAATCCCAGCACTTTGGGAGGCCGAGACGGGTGGATTACGAGGTCAAGAGATCGAGACCATCCTGGTCAACATGGTGAAACCCCGTCTCTACTAAAAATACAAAACATTAGCTGGGCATGGTGGCGCGTGCCTGTAATCCCAGCTACTCAGGAGGCTGAGGCAGGAGATTTGCCTGAACCCAGGAGGCGTAGGTTGCGGTGAGCCAAGATGGCGCCATTGCACTCCAGCCTGGGTAACAAGAGTGAAACTCCGTCTCAAAAAAAAAAAAAAAAAAAAGGTCTGTGTTGAAATCTAAAACCCCTATTGCTTGTTCTCATCAGAGTAGCTCTCTAGGTAGCATGTTCTCTGATGCAAGAGTTGACTTCTGTTTTTTCAAACCTCTTTCCCTTTAGACGTTTTGGAATAATGGGACTCTACAAAGGCCTTGAAGCCAAACTGCTGCAGACAGTCCTCACTGCTGCTCTCATGTTCCTTGTTTATGAGAAACTGACAGCTGCCACCTTCACAGTTATGGGGCTGAAGAGTGCACACAAACACTGAGACGCCTTCCCATGAAAAATTCCGAAGATGCTCAAAAGGGAGGTTTTCCTTCTGAGTAAAGAGAAGTGATTCTCCTTTGACTCGCTCCTGCCACCACAAACATTACCCGGCTTGAAAAGCATCCAAGGGTGAACAGGGAGTATGGCCAACTGGACCTGTTGTCACCTTAATTGTTATGCTGGCTGGTTGGATTTTTGGGGTGGCAGTTGGACTAATCTGAAAAAAAAAAAAAACATTGTTGAAAACCTCAATATGAAAGTTTTTGAGTGTTTATTGGTTTTCTTAAGAAATGGACTATTTTGCTCTTGTATATGATATTTTCTTTTTAAGTTTTTCTTAAATATACCGGCTGTTCTCTTTCCATGAACTCTCCCCCAGATTCTAGGACAAATTTAATAACATGTAATTCTCCTCAGATACTTTGTATGTGTCAGTGTTGGTATTTTCCTCTCTCAAACTAATATTAGGACTTTGCCATGGGCATGACTTTATTTTTCTTGGGCTTTTTTTCTCCTGGTTAAGGAGAGGTGTCTTTTTTATTTTTAGGATATGAGCTATTTATTTTTTGAAATGAAAATTGTTAATCCCAAATGATTCTCTTATAAACTATTTGTGAATGTCACTTATTCATTAGTGTTCGACGTAATTTTTTAAATATTTATTTTGAATCAATCCTTTCATTACAAAAGCCTGGAGATTTGTGTCCATCCACACAAGCCCTGGTCAGTCAAGTCCCAATAAATGGTCAACACAAACAAGATATTCTTGAAAATTGCTCTTTATTAAGGTATTACGCTGAGTTTGCAACCAGATGGGAAAAATTACAAAAAAAGAGAAGGGGAGCAGATATCTTTTTGAGGTCTGGCATGTTATCTCCCTTTATAAACTTGATATAGGTATATATTTTGAAAATAAACATCTGGTTGAGGTTATTTCATTTGGAAACCTTCCTTAGAGTCCTATTGCTAAAGTGTGGTCCATCCGACTGTAACACTGTCATGAGCTGAGAGCTGGCTGGGCATGCAGCCCAGAGTTTGTGAATCCTGTTCCATATATATATATATATTTTTTTTTTTTTTTTTTTTTTTTGAGACGGAGTTTCGCTCTTGTTACCCAGGCTGGAGTACAATGGCACAATCTCGGCTCACCGCAACCTCCGCCTCCTGTGTTCAGGCAATTCTCCTGCCTCAGCCTCCTGAGTAACTGGGATTACAGGCACGCGCCACCATGCCCAGCTGATTTTTTGTATTTTTAGTAGAGACGGGGTTTCACCACGTTCACCAGGATGGTCTCGATCTTTTGACCTTGCGATCCACCCGCCTTGGTCTCCCAAAGTGCTGGGATTACAGGCGTGAGCCACCGCGCCCAGCCCTGTTCCATATTTTAACATCCCCGGGTGATTCACAGTCACATTCAAGTTCAGGAGACCATAGGACCCCTGACCCATCAGAAGAAGTGATTGGTTTCAATTATAGAAATCAAGATAGGCCAGGCGAGGTGGCTCACACCTATAATCCCAGCACTTTGGGGGGCCAAGGCGGGTGGATCACAAGGTCGGGAGTTTGAGACCAGCCTGAACAACATGGTGAAACTCCATCTCTACTAAAAATGCCAAAATTAGCCAGGCATGGTGACACACGCCTATAATCCCAGCTACTCAGGAGGCTGAGGCAGGAGAATCACTTGAACCTGGGAGGTGGAAGTCACAGGAGCCGAGATCACACCATTGTACTCCAGCCTGGAGACAGAGCAAGAAAAAAAAAAAATCAAGATAAAGATTTTTTGCAAAGGAAAGATAGATTAATGTATTCAAACAACTTCTGAAAAATCCTGAAGTCCTATGTCACTTTTTGCTTTCTCCTCGCAGCTCGTTGTTAAGGTGGTAGAGCTTTTATTATGTGGCTAGGAGAGGATTTAGATATCTCGATCCTCTCTAGAAGCAAATTCTCTTGACATGAGTAGAGCAGTTCTTTGGATTTTTATGACTTAGTTTTTGTCCTTATAACAAAATGACAGGTTTTTCATTTATAAATCCATGATTCAGTCAGAGAGAATAATAATGAAAGACTTCATTATTTAGGATTCTGTTCAATTTTGGGAGTGGAAATTTCCTTCTTTTATTTCCTCTCTTTAGTCCCTGTGGTAATTTCAAAGTATATGATTGTTAAAGATCATTGTTCTAGCAAACAAAAATTAGCAGGAGCTAATAATCTGGGAAGAAGACTGAACATTTGTTCCCTATTTAAGTCAGATAATTGAAGACAGAATTGTTTTTACTACTTTTTGATTTACTTTAAGGTTTTTGTGTGCCTGTGGCAGACCTTGAGTGGGAAGCACAAAATTATTTTGATTTCTGTATAGAAGAAAAATGATCATAAAGGTGCCATGTGTATTTTCATTGTTTTAATTATGCTGTTCCCTTTGGAACTTCAATTTTTTTATTTTTATTTTTTTGAGACGGAGTTTCACTCTTGTTACCCAGGCTGGAGTGCAATGGCGCCATCTCAGCTCACCACAACCTCTGCCTCCTGGGTTCAGGCAATTCTTCTGCCTCAGCCTCCCGAGTAGCTGGGACTACAGGTGTGCACCACCATGCCCAGCTAATTTTTTGTATTTTTAGTAGAGACGGGGTTTCACCATGTTGACCAGGATGGTCTCGATCTCTTAACCTCGTGATCCACCCACCTCAGCCTCCCAAAGTGCTGGGATTACAGGCTTGAGCCACCGCGCCCAGCCCTGGAACTTCAATTTTGAACTCAGTATATTGTGAGTTGGTATGTTAGGATAATTTCCAATTCAAATTATTTCTCTGTGTTAGGTATTTATGATGTGAGAATGTGTTTGATGCTTTTCTTTTTCTGATTTTATGAGGAAACAATTTAACATTGAGGGTTATGTTCCTTATGGAAATGTACAGACTCACTAGTTGAAACTAGGTAGTAACACACCTAGTTTTATAACCATTGGTTAATAATAACTTGTTTGAGAAAACTAAAGAGCTGAAGTTTGTACTAGGGAAATGGATTTTTTTTTTTTTTTTTCCTGAGACAGAGTCTCACTCTGTCACCCAGGATGAAGTGCAGTGGCATGATCTCAGCTCATCACAAACTCCACCTCCTGGGTTCAAATGATTCTCCTGCGTCAGCCTCCCAAGAAGGTGGAACTAGAGGTGTCCACCACCACGCCCAGCTAATTTTTTTGTATTTATTATAGAGACAGGGTTTCACCATGTTGGCCAGGCTGGTTTTCAACTCCTGACCTCAGGTGATCCACCCATCTCAGCCTCCCAAAGTGCTGGGATTATGGGCATGAGCCACCATGCCCGGAAAATGGAAATTTGTTATTTTTAATACTTTGTGCAGTTTCTCTAGAATATGAGGATTAAGAACCTTAGGGATTATATTAGTATCACAGCAGTAGAAAATTTAATTTTTGTAAGTATTTAATGTGTGTTTTGAAGTGGGTACTGTAATATTTCTACCCTTGTCTGTTCTACAGTTAAGTATGAAATGCAGAAATAGATTAACATATTCAATGGAAGTTAGAAATCTTTGGGTTTTATTCCCAGCTCTGTTGCTGGCTAGCATATTATATCATCTCTTTGTAATTTGCTGTTTGAGAAGTGGTGCTAATACTACCCACTTCAGAGGACATTTGAGAGCTAATGATCTCAGCTAAATCCCTTTATGACTGTGGGATAGGGAAGATCTGAGTGAAACTTCAGACAGTACCTAGATTTATATAGAAGTTTCCCTTTTTATAGCCTATATACTTTCTCATTTTTTAATCCTGATATTTCTGTGAAATAGGTAGGGACAAGTAACAATATCCCTATTTAATTAACAAGGCAATTGAGAGAGAACTATCAAATGACTTGCCTCTTTGGAGGCAGGACTAGAGTTGAGTTTCCTGCAGTGTAGTGTAATGATTAAGAGAATGAGTTCTGGAATTAGATAGGCCTAGCTTCAAACTCTTGTCCCACTCCATACCAGCTGCAGGAACAAAGCAATTACTGGACTTTTATGAAACTTGGTTTCCTCAGCTATGAAACGGAGATCTTGATAAACCTACCTCATAGGGCAAATGAGGATTAAATGAGATTATATACATAAGTCACTTAACACAGTGCTTGCCGCATGAGAAGAATTAGATAAATGTTAGCAAAAACTGTTATGATTATATCATTGTTCCTGGTTAAGGATATGGCTATTTGAATAGATGTATCTGTGGTTTAGCGGAAGGCACTCTGGATTTTGAGCCAGATCTGGTCCCAGTTTTCATTTTGTTGCTTATTAGCATTGTGGCTACAGACAAATCACTTGACCTTTTTGAGCTTCCAGGTCTTCATCTGTCAAGTAGAAATGACGACCACTCAAAGCCATTCTGATTATCAAGAGCTGTAGATGTGGGAGAGTGTCTGGCACAGTATAGGGCATATATATGTGCTTAATAAAAGCTGTTTGAGGCTGGGTGTGATGGCTCACACCTGTAATCCCAGCACTTTGGGAGGCCGAGGCAGGTGGATCATAAGGTCAGGAGATCAAGACCATCCTGGCCAACGTGGTGAAACCCTGTCTCTACTAAAAAACAAAAAACTAGCTGGGCATGGTGGCATGCACCAGTAGTCTCAGCTATTTGGGAGGCTGAGGCAGGGGAATTGCTTGAACCTGGGAGGCGGAGGTTGCAGTCAACCGAGATCGTGCCACTAGCCTGGGCAACAGAGCAGCAAGGCTCCGTCTCAAAAAAAAAAAAAAAAAAAAAAAGCCGGGCACAGTGGCTCAAGCCTGTAATCCCAGCACTTTGGGAGGCCGAGGCGGGTGGATCACGAGGTCAAGTGATCGTCCTGGTCAATATGGTGAAACCCCGTCTCTACTAAAAATACAAAAAGTTAGCTGGGCATGGTGGTGCGTGCCTGTAATCCCAGCTACTCAGGAGGCTGAGACAGGAGAATTGCCTGAACCCAGGAGGCAGAGGTTGCGGTGAGCCGAGATCGCGCCATTGCTCTCCAGCCTGGATAACAAGAGCGAAACTCCGTCTCAAAAAAAAAAAAAAAAAAAAAGCTGTTTGAACCAAGCAAATGAATTAGGTTTTACTTCAGGGCACCTTTTCCTCCTTCCATTTTTTAAAATTGTAAACATTTCTTTTCTGGGAGCCTTCCTTTGTTGCATCTTCTCAAAAAGAAGCCAAATCCAGTAATTTTATATTTTATTTAGTCAAGTTTCCCAAACACTTAGCAGTTAAACAGTAAAACATAAACTCAGTTAAACAGTAGGCCAGGCGTGGTGGCTCACGCCTGTAATCCCAGTACTTTGGGAGGCCGAGACGGGTGGAGCACCAGGTCAAGAGATGAAGACCATCCTGGTTAATGCTGTGAAACTCCGTCTCTACTAAAAATACAAAAAAATTAGCCTGGCGTGGTGGCACACACTTGTGGTCCCAGCTACTCTGGAGGCTGAGGTGGAAGAATCGCTTGAACCAAGGAGGCAGAGATTGCGGTGAGCCGAGATTGTGCCACTGCACTCCAGCCTGGGCAACAGAGAAAAAAAGAAAAAAAAAAGCAGTAAAACATGTTTTAATGGCAAAGTCATTGACTGATCTAGTGAATCACCTTGGTTGGCTCTTTTGAAAAGCTAAAGAGGCCAGGCGTGGTGGCCCACACCCGTAATCCCAGCACTTGGGAGGCTGAAGCAGGTGGATCACCTGAGGCTGAGAGTTTGAGACCAGCCTGACCAACATGGAGAAACCCCATCTCTACTAAAA